CACATAATAGCCTTTATTTAATAACAATCTGCATTTATAACATTTGTCATACAGACTAAACATGCAGGCTTAAAGGGATAGTTCACCCAAAAAGGACAATTTGCTGTTAATTGACTCACCCTCAGGCCATCCAAGATGTAGTTCACTTTTTTTTCTTCAATTGAACAGTAAAGGAGATTTTTAGATGAAGCCATTGTCTTTGGCAATTCATAAACTGCATGTGTCTGGTTGTCGGCTTTTGAGAGTCAAATAAACATGAACAGACAAGACCAAATTACCAAAGGCTCTTGAGGACTAGGGTTGGGTACCTATCATTTCGGTGCCACTTAAATGCCTGAGTGATCGATTTAAATATTTGTCCTGGTTCTCTGAAATGGACGTAAGACGAATGGGCGTCACTAGGTCATTTTTAGCGGGGCAATAACGATTAGCTCCATAAACTGTACACAAATTCATGATCGCCTCAGAGTCAGTCCTCTTTAAATTTCAAATGAAAACGGCGGCAGACTTTTCGTCTCCTCCCCGTCTTTCAGCGCGCTCTTCAATTCCGCAGACCGCGGCGGCGCAGCGCGAGCAAACTCAAACAGGACACAAGGTGTGTGTTTATCAATAGATTGTTATAATATCTGTATCTGTGCAGTTCTTTGTCATAAATACAGTTTACAAAAGGTCAAGAGGGAGCAATCGGTTTCCCATCTACTGTAAAGTTTTCGCTGCGTTCACCGCTCATCACACCACAGTTGTTTCCTCCAGCGGAAATCTAGCCCTTAACACATATGAATGCATACTTTATAAAACGATCATATTGCTATTTTCATTTGAAAATTTTATATTTAATATAAAACATATTACAGTGCATGTGGCATACCATACAGTAATTCACAGAACTGATTAAAGACGGTGACATACAGCACTCAGTCAATTCACTCATTTTAACAAAAAATCAGAGTGATTGACAGAGATACAGTAGAAACATTATGTGTGGTTTTGTATTAAATATTGTTTTGTATTAAATAATGACCCAGATCGTGAAATACATTTATTAGCCTTAGAGTAAGGGAAGCACAACTCGGAAAATGAGAGCATCCAAGGAGCATGTGAATGCTA